TGGCAGGTGCCTGTCCTCATGAAGTTGTCCCAACCCACAGAATGGACTACACCAAGAGCGAACCCTCATGTAGACCACGGACTCTGGACCACGAGGACGCGTCATGTAGCAAATGCTCCTCTGGTGGAGGGTGTTGATACCCAGGGAGGCTGTGCACGGGCAGGGGCAGCGGGCAGATGGGACATCCCTGCACTTTCTCTAAATTTTGCTGTGAACCAAAACTACGTCTAAAAAAGGTCTATTAAAGATATATTTATCAGTAAATATAAAAATATATTTCACAGTATATCTTACTGCTGAGAGATAACATTGAGTACAATTTTGATTTAATTATCCTTTGGCCTTTGTCATGTCTCATTTTTTCTTCAGTAATCAAGTCTCATGTCTCTCTCTCTCTCTCTCTCTCTCTCTCTTTCTCTCTCTCTCTCTCTCTCTTTTAAGGCAAATTTCTTCTCAAGGGGAGAAGCAAGGCGAGTCTGGAGCAGGGTTACCTGGCCACGCGCCCAACAAGCCTTCCTCAACAGATGTCCCTTCGTGATAGGATTCAAGATGACATTGTAGAGCGTGCAGCTACGTGAGAAAAAAGGCCCGGTCACCTTTGTCGGAGCCGGGCAGCTGGATCCCCACGTCCCGGAGGAGCCCCTCGGCGCCCTCCAGCCAGGACTGCGACAGGCGCACGATGTCCAGCGCCGCCTTCTGGAGCCCGGACACAGGTGGGCTCACCTGCAGGCACTGGAGGAGCTCCACCTCCTTCTTCAGGTCGGTGCTGCAGCAAGACGTCTTCATGCACGCCTGCAGAGACACGGATCGTGAGGGGCCGCCTGGGAAGACAGGATGGTGAGGGGCCGCCTGCAGAGACACGGATCGTGAGGGGCCCGCCTGGGAAGACAGGATGGTGAGGGCCCGCCTGGGAAGACAGGATGGTGAGGGGCCACCTGGAAAGACAGGATGGTGAGGGGCCGCCTGGAAATAGAGGATGGCGAGGCGCCGGGGCCGCCTGGAAAGAGAGGATGGTGAGGGGCCGCCTGGAAAGAGAGGATGGTGAGGGGCCGCCTGGAAAGAGAGGATGGTGAGGGGCCGCCTGGAAAGAGAGGATGGTGAGGGGCCGCCTGGAAAGAGAGGATGGTGAGGGGCCGCCTGGAAAGAGAGGATGGTGAGGGGCCGCCTGGAAAGAGAGGATGGTGAGGGGCCGCCTGGAAAGAGAGGATGGTGAGGGGCCGCCTGGAAAGAGAGGATGGTGAGGGGCCGCCTGGAAAGAGAGGATGGTGAGGGGCCGCCTGGAAAGAGAGGATGGTGAGGGGCCGCCTGGAAAGAGAGGATGGTGAGGGGCCGCCTGGAAAGAGAGGATGGTGAGGGGCCGCCTGGAAAGAGAGGATGGTGAGGGGCCGCCTGGAAAGAGAGGATGGTGAGGGGCCGCCTGGAAAGACAGGATGGTGAGGGGCCGCCTGGAAAGAGAGGATGGCGAGGGGCCGCCTGGAAAGATACGGATCGTGAGGAGCCCAGAAACCCCACCCGACACCACCTGTGAAGAACGTCTTGACTTTGCCATGAAGCAGCAGGGCCCCATGTCAGCGCCTGGGGGTGGCCCCGTCCAGTTTTAGTTGCTTAATTTTTTTGG